TTTTCTTCATCAAGATTTGCACCGATAGAATGTAGTGCTGATGACTTTACAACATTATTTACAGATAATTTTGGAAGGTGGAAGATATTTATGTTTTTTTAGAAAAATTCAAACCTTTTTGGTATTGGACAACGTTAAGGTTTCCTGATAATAAATGTCCACAAAAATCATATCAGGACATTCTATTCGTGTATTTCAAACTTCCTTTGAATGAGTTGAGTGGAAATTTTAGTACAATATCTCACATTTCTAATGTGAAAAAATTTGACAACATATACTATTTTTTCCTATGTTCCCTTTGAGGAAAGGGAAGTCAACAACTATAACGACGCAAAGCATTTCTATTTCTTTTGATATTTGTTGTTTATACTGTTAATATGCTTCTTGATATATTATCCAATACGTATAGTTATTTATGAGGGGTCTGATGGGTTATTTTCGTTCTTCGTGATCGGCGCATTTTCGCTATCGTGATCCGTTTTTCTACAGATTTTTTTTTTTTATATTTTCGTGATCCGTGATCATGGAAATTTGTTTTCTGTGAATCGTGATTGACAAAAAAATCAACTCGTGACTCGTGATGAGACCCCCCCCCCAGATCAGGCCCCTCATTTATCTTTTTCTTAATCCTGACATTTTTTTCAAACTACATTATTTCACATAACAATATTACGATGGAATATCCAAAAATTTTCAAGTTATATTTAGTGAATAAAATACATTCTGAATCAAAGAATAATTTTGTTCCTGAAAAAAAAGAGTTGCATGTAGCATTTAAAATGAGGATCAAGTATACATGTTAAATTTGTATAAATGGTAAAGCATAAATATTAACAATCAGTTTGCTGTTTCAGCATGAAAAGAGATGGAGTAAGAAGCTTTTGTTTAATTGTTGTGCTTTTGTTTAATTTTGTAAAATGCAGGTCGTAAATACTCTATACTGTATAAGAGGAAATTTTCATTGTGTACACACATTTATTTTTTTAAGGCAAGACAATAGCTTATTACCTTTATGACATTTATTGATAAGAGATAGCACCTAATTGTATGATAAAGCTGTAAAAAATATACAAATATGAAATAAAAATCACATGCTTGAAATATATTTGGTTGTCTTTTCACCCACTAGTAACAAGTATACATTTTACATTCTACGTCATTTGATCTCTGGTGGAGAGTTGTCTCATTCATACCTTTTTATATTGTACAATCTAAAAGTAAAAAACACAACCAACATTAGGAGGGTTGATCTTATTGAATTAAAAGGTCAGATTTCAAATATAAAAGAGAAGTTCAGGTTCAAGACCATTTAGTACTATCGGGATAACTCTATTACTTTTAGTCATTCCACTTGTCAAAGATTAAGGTCTAGACGTAGCTATAACATTTAAAGATGTGGGCTATGAGTAGATGATCTCCTTTGTATTTAAGTCTCCTTTGTAGCTTGTTGTAGAGAGTTCAACTAAAGAATGGTCTCCTGTGAGTTAAATTCATGATCATAATACTTTACACTCAGATTATTCAAATAAGTGCAAAGAGTGATTGGATCAGCGATAGAATGATGTTTCTTAATGATTGATTGGTGTTTGTTGTTTAATGCCTGCTTATAACATATTCACACTAAATCTGTAAGTTGTACGAATAGACATTTAAGTCTGGGAGAACATTATAACATCTTCGCACTAAATCTGTTTGGTGTACTGATAGACATTTAAGTCTGGGATAACATTATAACATATTGACATTGAATCTGTTAGGTGTACGGATAGACATTTAAGTCTGGGAGAACATTATAACATATTCACACTAAATCTGTTAGGTGTTCTGATAGACATTTAAGTCTGGGAGAACATTATAACATATTCACACTAAATCTGTTAGGTGTACGGATAGACATTTAAGTCTGGGAGAACATTATACATGTAACATATTCACACTAAATCTGTTAGGTGTACTGATAGACATTTAAGTCTAGGAGAACATTATAACATATTCACACTAAATCTGTTAGGTGTACGGATAGACATTTAAGTCTGGGAGAACATTATAACATATTCACACTAAATCTGTTAGGTGTACGGATAGACATTTAAGTCTGGGAGAACATTATAACATATTCACACTAAATCTGTTATGTGTACGGATAGACATTTAAGTCTGGGAGAACATAACATATTCACACTAAATCTGTTAGGTGTACTGATAGACATTTAAGTCTGGGAGAACATTATAACATATTCACACTAAATCTGTTAGGTGTACGGATAGACATTTAAGTCTGGGAGAACATTATAACATATTCACACTAAATCTGTTAGGTGTACGGATAGACATTTAAGTCTGGAAGAACATAACATATTCACACTAAATCTGTTAGGTGTACTGATAGACATTTAAGTCTGGGAGAACATTATAACATATTCACACTAAATCTGTTAGGTGTACTGATAGACATTTAAGTCTGGGAAAACATTGTGAAATTTCAGTAACTGGGTAGACTACCTTTCTGTTAGGTGTACGGATAGACATTTAAGTCTGGGAGAACATTGTGGGACTTTCAGTAACTGGGTAGACTACCTTTCTGTTAGGTGTACGGACAGACATTTAAGTCTGGGAGAACATTGTGGACTTTCAGTAACTTTGTAGACTACCTTTCTATCGGTACTTCATTTTATTTTATTTTATTTTGCATCTGTTTGTGCTAATACTTAGTCTGATGAATCAAGCTCTGTTCAACTGTTTTTTTTTACATAAACTGTCCTAAAGGGCCAATGTGAGCGTTTGCTATCAACTTGGTGTCCGTCGTCGTCGTCATTCATTACCTTTTCTAAAAAATCTTCTTCCCTGAACCTACTGCGCCAAAATAGAACCAAATTAAGCCACATTTCTCTTAAGGGTATCTAGTTTAACAAATGTTTCCGATGATCTTACTACTATCTCACTAGTATTAGAGGTCGGTCAATTTAAAACGTATTCAAAGTATCCGATACGTTGACGTATACTCATCAACGGGAATATGCTAACATAATTATCCCAATCGAATATATTACCCGGTGTACTATTTTTGAAGAATAATGGGGATCAATGTCATATGTCGTACTACCCTTCGTAAAACAACATAATCGCCAATCTAGAAAAAAAACTGTGTTTAATTGTTGTAGGTCCCAATGAAATGAAGATCTTTGATATGCAGCATAGACGTATAAGGATTATGTACTCTGTTGTTTCAATGCTAAATATAAATACATTTTACGTTTAGAAAATCAAAAACTTATCTGGATTTCGCAGTGCCAAAATAAACAAGGTTGAGAAAGAGGTTTGAGAACTCCCCCATAGGTAGTAATTGAAGTGAACTGTATTGATTGATATGGATAATAGAGGGACAATAGATACCTGACAATAATTGGTGATTTAAACTGTGTACTTGAGTGGACCATATCAAGTGAAACTCAAGTTTGTTAATTTTATCATCTTCTGCAGGGACGTAAAATGTGCACAGCAAAATCCAGTTAAGTTTTAAATTTTCTAAAACATAAAATGCATGTGAATTTTATTTATCTAGGGCATGCTATGCCTTAAATCTTTTCCAGACGCACAGGTTAATCTGTACAGTTTAGAGTAAACTTTTAGGTGAAAACACGGCCATTTTAGCGGAAGGGGGAAAGAGTTCCATACGGCACCCCCACGGAATAAACTGTAATACATTATTGTGTTATTTTAGTATGGTGGGGGTGCCATATGAAACTCTCACCCAAAGTTTGATCCACGTTACTCTTTAAAAATGGTACATTGAGTAATACGATCAGGGTAATTATTTGAGCATATTCCCCCAGATGCGTATACGTCAACGTATCTGATACTTTGGATACGTTTTAAATTGACCGACCTCTAATGCAGCGAATGAGCACAACTAACTCCGAATTCAACGAATAGGCACAACTCATTCCGTATCGCAGCAAATGAGCACAACTAACTCAGTATTGCAACAAATGAGCACAACTAGCTCCGTATTGCAATGAATGAGCACTACTATCTCATTCGTATTGCAGCGAAAGAGTAAAACTAACCCAGTATTGCAGCGAGTTGGCACAACTAACTCTGTATCGCAGCAAATGAGCACAACGAACTCATTATTGCAGCAAATGACCACAACTAACTCAGTCTTGTAGCGAATGAGTACAATTAACTTAATATTGCAGCGAATGAGCACAACTAACTCAGTATGGCAGCAAATGAGCACAACAAAATCAGTATGGCAAAAAATGAGCACAGCTAACTCAGTATTTTAGCGAATAAGCAAAACTAACTCAGTATTGCAATGAATGAGCACTATTATCACACTAGTGTTACAGCGAATGAGCACAACTAACTCTGTCTTGCAGGAATGAGCACAACTAACTCTGTCTTGCAGGAATGAGCACAACTAACTCTGTCTTGCAGGAATGAGCACAACTAACTCAGTTTTGCAGTGAATGAATACAACTCCTTTTGATGGGATGTAAATCGTATCAAAATATTATTTGGAGTTAACTCAAGATTCTGAAAAAAAACTATCAAAGTATTATTTTGGAGTAAACTCAAGATTCAGATATGCATAAGAATTCTGATTACTTTTAAATTGTATAAATAAAATGAAACATCCAATCGTAACTAAACTTAGTTTGATAATGTTACTTGAGAAGATCCCTTTTGATATCACACTTACACATAAATCAAAATTCAAGTTAACAGCAGCAACTGACAATCTGAAATTTGGGCAAAACAGAATAATGATTGCTACATACAAACAAACGCATTGTTTGCCAGACAACTGAGTTATGACATGCTTAAGCATTTTTTTAAACATCTTTTACATATTTATGAAGTTACTATGTTTTTTGTAAACAAGCAGATTTTAGTGTTTGACACAGTATTTAAATATAAAAAAGTACTCAAAATTTCCTAATACAGTTTAAATATGTACAACTCTTTACTATTTATATAAAATGGGTCATTCATGTGTTCAGTCGTATACTTAATTGGATTTCCCACATTACGCATACTTTGCTTTCAGAAAATTAACAAAGGACTTGTGTCGAATGGGCAGTGATTTTTAAGGTATAAAAATACTTCACAATATCGGGTTTGTGGCTGAAAGATCTAGAGGGAATTAAGTACTAAACGATACACAGGTATGCTATGAATATTCAGTGTAAAACTGTGTATTTATTTTTGGCTTAAGAAATTGTGACCCACCAAGCTTTTGTACTTGTTTTTATCTTCCGCATTACTAAGTTGGTAATTTTCTCATGGATTTATTCGAATGTTAATCATGGATTTCTTACACAGACAATCATGAGTGAGTAATTTGTCATGCAGAGTAATAAGGTAACATATTATTTAAATGATTTTGTCTCGTGATGGAAACTGAAACTGTGTTGTTAGAATATGTCTAGGCTTTTCTATTCTCAGTATTATATTATATATATATATATATGACCACTCATTCTTAATCTAATGGTTTAATATTATGTTTTTTCTTATACGCTGTTGTTGGTCTCTATTCGACCGATTTCACATGTCATTACTTTAGTATATCTTTCATCAAAAGATCAGACATTTAAGTTTTAGTCACACGATTTTAATGCCCCCGCGACATAATTTTACCCCTGTCCGTCCGTCCGTCCGTCCGTTCGTCCGTCCGGATATAGATACCTGGTTTGTCCGGCTTTCTACTCCTACAGTTTTTGAGCTACAGCGTTAATATTTTGTAGGATGTTTTTGCACATCAAAGAAGTGTGCTTGTCCACAGGATTTTGATTTTTTTAAATCATTTTCAAATTGCCAGGTATTTGGTACAGGCTGCATAAAGAGATCATGGTTTGTCCGGCTATCTTCTCCTACAGTTTTTGAGCTACAGCTTTAATATGTTTGTAGGTTGTTTGTACACATAATGGAAGTGTGCATGTCCACAAGATTTTGATTTGTTTTTCAAATATTCTCAAAACGCCAGGTATTTGGACTTAGTCATTTATTTTGGTGCTAAAAGTCAGAAAGGGGGGATGTTAGATATTCGCAAAAACCGGTATTTAGACTTCATTTCCTTCTAACTTGCTGTATAATTGAAAACATGGTTTGTACTACTACAGTTTAATATACCCTAATGCAATAAATAAGATTTTTTAGTATTGTCAAATATTTAATTAATACCGGGGAGTTGAACTCGGTGACCACTGGAAATAGAAAGTTGAACTTGGTGACTGCTAAAACTGGAAAGTTGACACCTTTTGGCTAGACATTCAGTCCTGCAAATTTAGACACTCAGAATAAATATAGATAATCATACATATTGTTAAATTAATAATTTCTTATGGTCAGGCTGGAGCATCATTTGTGTCTTACAGACAGTGCAACAATTTCAAGTTTTACTTTAACAATACTGTTTTTCAAATCTAAAGTATGTGGAACTATACTCATGCATACATATGACAGGGCAGAAAGGGGGGTCGTCCATATCCAGTTTATTAGTTGTTACCGTAATTGGCTTTGACGTAGCCTTCAGTAACTACGAGTACTCTCAGATCTGTACTTTGTGTCTTTTGTGTTTTTGTTACGGTTTGTATATGCTTTGTATCGATTAAACAGGTAAATAGATATAAGCAGATGTGGTATGAGTGCCAATGAGACAACCCTTTATCCTAGTCACAGTTTGTAAAAGTAAATCATCATAGGTCAAAGAACGGCCTTCAACACGGAGCCTTGGCTCACATCGAACAGCAAGCTATAAAGGGCCCCAAAAATGACTAGTATAAAACCATTCAAACAGGAAAACCAACGGTCCAATCTATATAAAAAACGAAAAACGAGAAACACTCATGAACCACATCAACAAACGACAACCACTGAACATCAGGTTCCGGACTAAGGACAGGTGCAAACAAATGCAGCGGGTTTGAACGTTTTATCTGGCGCCAACCTTCACCCTAACCTGAGACAGTGGTGTAAAGCCCTTTTCATCTGATTTTTATAGTTTGTTCTTATGTTGTGCTGTTACACCACTGTCCCAGGTTAGGGGGAGGGTTTGTAACCAGCAAACATGTTTAACCCCGCCACATTCTGTATGTTCCTGTCCCAAGTCAGGAGCCTGTAATTCGATGGTTGTCATTTGTTGCTGTATATCATGTTTGGTTTTTTTTCGTTTATTATTCTGTACATATGTAATACAATTTGGATTCGAAAAATGCTCTAACTACTACATAAGGACAAAAGTGTACTTCATTAATCGACTATACATTTTGTTATACAATCATATTTGACATTCGTACATGTATTACATCAATTGCGCTGATACATGTATCCTGCAGCAAATTAATAACCCTGTACAGACAAGGAAGATTATATAAACAGTATAAAAAGACTTAGAAAAGAGGAGCAAGATTGGATTCAACTAGGATCCCCCTTTACGTGGGTAGGAATTCATTCACCACCAGAAGTCATACTTGTCAAGACCGAACATATAACTCTATACGATCACGTGCCCGTGTGACAATTTGTGAACTTTCGAACAATTGAACATTTAAACTTCTGAAACTTTCTTAAATTTGTATTTTCGTAAAAAAAATATTATTTTTATTTCAAACTCGACTTAGTTATTCATAAATTAGACCGTTAGGTTTCTCGTTTGAATTGATTAACATTATTTCGGGGTCTCTTTAATACAGCTTACCATGCGATATGGGTTTTGCTCATTGTTGAAGACTCTCCATGATTTCTCTATTAATAACCATCTGCCATTTATACAAAAGACATTTATTCAGAAGCCATCACATTCGCACGAAGTTTTATTTACTCTCCCATTCAAAACTTCATTCTTTGTAAAACTTATATTTGAAAACCACTGTTATAAATCCCCATTCAAGCCAATACACACTTGCATCTATCATCTCGGATATTGCCAGTCACAGACTTTTCGAACCGGTTCACATTGGAAAAGATGAAAAGATGCAATATCCTTCGTCATAAATCAGTTCACTTAAAAATACCTCCCTTCTTTAAAGATCAATCTGTACCCATCATCTCTTATACCTATACCAGCCAATTGCAACTAAAATTATTTTCAACACGTGTTGCAGGATCTCAGTATTGACAACTTCAAGTCTAACCCTCCTGATTGCACCTGTGCTAGCTCCCCAATTATACATAATCCACCGTACCATGTCATAACTGGCGACCTGAACATTGTCAATAACACTTCTTTGCGCAATGGGTTATCCAAAGGCCCGAAATATCGTGAGCCTCAATCCATCAATTGGAACCACAACTTTAAAATAACGAAGGATGCAGTCTAGGTTATGCCAAGCAATGGGCTAAAAAAGAGAGGCGAAAGATACCAAAGGGACATTCAAACTCGAAAATAAACTGACAACGTCATGGCAAAAAATGAAAAAGACCAAAACAAAACACAACATAGAAAACTAAAGACTGAGCAACACAATCCCCACCAAAACCCGGGGGTGATCTCAGGTGCTATGGAAGGGTAAGCAGATCCTGCTCCATATGTAGCACCCGTCATGTTGCTCAAGTGAGTACAAAGCCGGAGATAAGTCTATTTCGGTAGGTCACATTAGGTGAAAAAGAAGACGTAGATACTCTTTCCAAATTGGTTAAGGATGTGAGGTCGTTGATACAAATTATAATTTAAAAACTGAATGGGTCTAAGAAAACACATGCTACATCGATCTTTAAAGACCTAAATGTTGCTAAGCACCTCTCCAAACTCCATGACAAATACGTTGTTGTCCTTGCCGATAAAGCCCCAAACAACATAGTGTGTCTGTGTGTGTGTGTGTGTAAATCACATTACATAAACTGTTTCATTGAAAATTCACTTGGAAACTCAACATCTACCCCAAAGACACTTACTAAGAAGGAAATCCTGAATAAGCATAGGTCTGTCCTATGTTATTTGGAATTTCAACCAAAACTGAAGAACTGGATCTTCCTTCACTCTATTGGAAACCTACATAGCAAAAGTGTCCTTACAAAATAAAAATAAGGAGATATGGTATGACTGCCAATGAGACAACTATCCACCAAAGTTCAAATGATTTACACTTCGCTATACCGTCATCTCTGTACCAATCAGTAATCACTGCATACACTTCGTTATACCGTCATCTCTTTACCAATCGGTAATCACTGCATACACTTCGTTATACCGTCATCTCTTTACCAATCAGTAATCACTGCATACACTTCGTTATACCGTCATCTCTTTACCAATCAGTAATCACTGCATACACTTCGTTATACCGTCATCTCTTTACCAATCAGTAATCACTGCATACACTTCCATATACCGTCATCTCTTTACCAATCAGTAATCACTGCATACACTTCGTTATACCGTCATCTCTTTACCAATCAGTAATCACTGCATACACTTCGTTATACCGTCATCTCTTTACCAATCAGTAATCACTGCATACACTTCGTTATACCGTCATCTCTTTACCAATCAGTAATCACTGCATACACTTCCATATACCGTCATCTCTTTACCAATCAGTAATCACTGCATACACTTCGTTATACCGTCATCTCTGTACCAATCAGTAATCACTGCATACACTTCCATATACCGTCATCTCTTTACCAATCAGTAATCACTGCATACACTTCGTTATACCGTCATCTCTTTACCAATCAGTAATCACTGCATACACTTCGTTATACCGTCATCTCTTTACCAATCAGTAATCACTGCATACACTTCACTATACCGTCATCTCTTTACCAATCAGTAATCACTGCATACACTTCGTTATACCGTCATCTCTTTACCAATCAGTAATCACTGCATACACTTCACTATACCGTCATCTCTTTACCAATCAGTAATCACTGCATACACTTCGTTATACCGTCATCTCTTTACCAATCAGTAATCACTGCATACACTTCGTTATACCGCCATCTCTTTACCAATCAGTAATCACTGCATACACTTCGTTATACCGTCATCTCTTTACCAATCAGTAATCACTGCATACACTTCGTTATACCGTCATCTCTTTACCAATCAGTAATCACTGCATACACTTCGTTATACCGTCATCTCTTTACCAATCAGTAATCACTGCATACACTTCCATATACCGTCATCTCTTTACCAATCAGTAATCACTGCATA